TGCCCTGAGGAGAGAAAAAATGAATGGATTAATATAGTTGTTCCTGGCTATATGCAGAAAGAAAGAAAAGAAAGAAAGAAAGAAAGAAAGAGAACAAGAAAAAAAAAAAAGAAAAAAGAAAAAAGAAAAAGAAAAAAAAAAAAGAAAGAAAAAGAAGGAGAAGAAAGAAAGAAAAAAAAGAACAAGAAAAATAAAGAAAAAGGAAAAAGAAAAAAGAAAAAGAAAAAGAAAAAGAAAAAGAAAAAGGAAAAGGAAAAAAGAAGGAAAAAGAAAAAGAAAGGAAAAGAAAAAGAAAAAAATATATATACTTAAATTTATCTTAAACTTTTATTATTTTTTAATATTAAGAAATTCCTTTTCAACCTGACATTCATCGGTTGCATTCTACCTAAATCATCTATAACGAAAAGAATTTGAATTATGTATGTTAATTCTCTGCAGATCCCCTACACCAGACCTGGGCCACATCCGGCCAACGGGACACATCCGGTCCTTTGTGGGTCCCTGTCCGATCCGCGAGAGGCCGGACAGGGACTAAATATATAATTTGGCAAATATATATAATTTATTAAATACATAACTTATCAAATATATAATTTATTAAATATATATAAAATATAAATATATAAATGCAAATATAATTATAATTATATGCATTTTACAATGGAAGAAAGTTGAGCCAAATCAAATTCCAGTTATCGTTGGTGTGGCCCTCTGACACAAAGCAGGTTTCTCATATGGCCCCTTGTAAAAATCAATTGTCCCCCCTCACCCCCCCCCGCCATACACATTCTGCCTGTACACCAATAAAGAATCTTTCGGTACAGTTGGCCCAAGACGGTGCCATACACGCTGTATATTGCTTCTGCCTAGATGTGGCACTGCAGATGTAGTGTAATTATTCATGAATAAACGTGGATTTTTTTTTCTATAACGAAGGGAATTTCAGAAGCAGCTTTCTTTCACTCTGTGGCCCCGACCAGTATGTAATAGCCTTCTTGGTCCAGTTCAGTGTCTGTCATCTTTTCAGATTCAGCTGTCACTTGTCATGGTAGTGATGGTGTCAACAGCTATAGGACAAGAACACTTATTAGAAAGATTCCAGTTTATAAAATTAAGTTTAATTCGACTTCATAATTTTCATATTGCTATATGACCCCCAGAAAGTCCCCTGGGTCCTCTGGGGTCCCTGCCCCAGGTTGGAAACCCCTTGTCTAGGGTCTGAAGCCTGTGTCAAAACATGTCTGCAAGTACCTAAATATATATATATCCATATAATACATAAACGTATACACACACACGCGCACACACACACACGCACACACACACACGTACACACACAACACACACACACATAACACACACCACACACACACACACACAAACACACACACACACACACACACAACACACACACACCACACACACACACATATATATATATATATATATATATATATATATATATATATATATATATATATATATATAATATATATATATATATATATATATATATATAAACATACATATATGTAAAAGCTACTCCCCCAGTAAAAAGAAAGAAACAAGATATATTTAAATCTAAGACAAAATCCTCATAACTTAAGATACTTTCAAATTACACGTAAATGATATCTTCCGTAACTTATTGCAAGATACTCTAAATTACTAACTTTTATATGAAAACTTTGGACATGAAAATTGCATCATAGATTAATTTTGCTGATAGTCTCGGGCACCAAGATCAGAGAAACTTGGTAATTGCAGAACAACCTTGCAAAAAAGGGTTGATTGGATATTTTTGCAGACAGAAGTGATGTCGAAATGGAAGGAAAAGTCATCTTTCTTTTTAAAATAATATGGAAAATAATTCAGCGTCTTATCGAGAGAGAGAGAGAAAAAAAAAAGTTGTTCTTCGGTGAAATAGAAGGAAGCAAAAATTCGGTTGATTTTAGCTCCCTATCTTATCCCTTCTGTCTCGTCTCTCTCTCTCTCTCTCTCTCTCTCTCTCTCTCTCTCTCTCTCTCTTTTCTCTCTATCTCTTCTCTCTCTCTCTTCTCTCTCTCTCTCTCTCTCTCTCTCTCTCTTCTCTCTCTCTCTCTCTCTCTCTCTCTCTCTCTCTCTCTCTCTCTCTCTCTCGTCTTTTCTTCTCTGCTCTGTCTGTTTGACGGCTGTCTGTCTGACTGACGTCTGTCTGTCTGTCTGTCTGTCTCTCTCTCTTTCTCTTTCTCTTCTCTTTCTCCTCTCTCTCTCTCTCTCTCTCTCTCCTCTCTCTCTCTCTCTCTCATCTGTCTCTTCTCTCTCTCTCTCTCTCTCTCATCTCTCTCTCCTCACTCCCTCCCTCCCTCCTCTCTCTCTCTCTCCTCTCTCTCTCTCTCTCTCTCTCTTCTGCTCTTTCTTCTTCCTCTTTCTTTCTATCTCTTCGTGAAAGTAACCCGAAGTAGGTCCAAAGTCCCGTGAGCCGCTCAGGTTCTTAACTTTGTTGTAGGTTTCTACTCTCTGTGGACACCCTTCGCCCCTGCCTCCTTCACCCCCCTATCTCTCCCTCCCCATCCTCTTCCCCTTCAACGCTTCCCTCACCCTCTCGTGCTCCCCTCTAACTCGCCTCCCTCTCCTCCCTCTCTCTCTCTCCCTCCCTCCCTCTCCTCCCTCTCCTCTCGCCTCTCTCTCTCTCTCTCTTCTCTCTCTGCTCTCTCTCTCTCTCTCTTCTCTCTCTTCTCTCTCTCCGTCTCTCTCTCTCCCTCCCTCCCTCCCTCCCTCCCTCCTCCCTCTCCTCAACTCCCTCCTCCCTCCCTCCCTCTCCTCCCTCCCCTCCCTCCCTCCCCTCCTCCCTCTCCCTCCCTCCCCTCCTCCCTCCTCCCCTCCCTCTCCTCCCTCCCTCTCCCTCCCTCCCCCCCCCTCCCTCCCTTCGCCTCCCTCCCTCTTCCCTCCCTCCCTCCCTTCCTCCCTCCCTTCCTTGCCTTCCTCCCTCTCCTCCCTCCCTCCCTCCCTCCTCTCCTCTCCTCCCCCTCCTCCCTCCCTCCCTTCCTCCTCCCTCCCTCCCTCCCCTCCCTCCCTCCTCTCTCCTCCCTTCTCCTCCCTCCCTCTCCCAGAAACCACAGGCGCAACGTAACTCGTGACTCGTGTTCAAGTCTCTCTTTCTCTATCTATCTCTCACTATCTTTCTGTCTCTCTTTCTCTCTATCTATCTATTATGTATCTATTATCTATTATCTATCTATCTATATACACAAACACACACAACAACACACACACACACACACACAACACACACACACACACACACACACACACACACATATGTACACATATATACATACACATGTATCTATACACACATACACACATACATACACAATTTACATTTAAATACATACCTACGTACATACAGACAGATATACCCATAGTTGCACTTATTAAACAGAAAAAGGCTACGAATGATAAAACTACATCAGGTGTCATTTAGTTCTATAAAAGAAAAAGGCTACGAATGATAAAACTACATCAGGTGTCATTTAGTTCCACAATTTGTATTATTTAATGGCAATACTTCTACTCTTAACGAGAAAAAGTTACTCGACTCGAATCTGCACGTGTTACTCGAATCTGCACGGAAGTTACTCGAATCTGCACGTAAGTTACTCGAATCTGCTCGTGTTACTCGAATCTGCACGTAAGTTACTCGAATCTGCTAGTGTAAGACAAAGAAATTGAAATCAAACCTCGAATCTGAGTGTTACTCGAATCTGCACGTAAGTTTACTCGCGTTTACTCGAATCTGCACGGAAGTTACTCGAATCTGCAGGGGTTACTCGACTCGAATCTGCACGTGTTACTCGAATCACGGAAGTTACTCGAATCTGTTACTCGACTCAAATCTGCACGTGTTACTCGAATCTGCAGGGAAAGTTACGAATCTGCTCGTGTTACTCGAATCTGCACAGAAGTGAGATACAACAGAAAGAGGAACGCCACTTAACTCTCCAACACAGCCACTCACGCACTCTTCCGTTGAGTGGAACAGCCACCTGGACACTGAATCAGCTGATGTCTCTCGACTCAACCTTGCCTCTTCGTGTCTACGTGCCCATCCCCCCCCCACCCCCGCCCCCTTGCCTTCCCCTAGCCCCTCCCCTCCCATCCTATGTCACTCCCTTACGGATCCCTATAGATCCCTAGGACCCCCCTCCCCTCCCTTCAGGCCCTCCCCCACCCTCCCTTCCCTCCAGTGACCCCTCCCTCCATTCGCTCGCTGTACCCTTGGCTCCGCCCTTGTTCCTTAGCGGAGGACCCGAATGCCAGCTAGTATTTCCTTTCATATTTTTTTCCGCCACATATAAGTCATTCCGAGCAAAGAGAAGACGCTAGTGGAAATTCTCATCATCGCAGCGAGTTCATACCTCTTACGAAAACCTTACACCGAAGACCAGAATACGAGAAATAAAACAAATCATTCTACGACCTAAGGGGCAACTCGATTCCCGCCCGACCAATCAGAGAGCGCAAAAGGGTTGCTACGGGCAGATGTCATGACCTAAGCCCGGGGATAAGGGATCGTGCATGGCAACAGATTTCGGACATTTGGGCTGGGACAACAGCGAATGACTCTGGTCTTAATTTGGAAGCTAATTCATACCAACTGTTAATCTTTTGCTCGCGTCTCTCTCTCTCTCTCTCTCTCTCTCTCTCTCTCTCTCTCTCTCTCTCTCTCTCTCTCTCTCTCTCTCTCTCTCTCTCTCTCTCTCTCTCTCTCTCTCCCTCTCACTCTTTTTCCTTCACTCTCTTTTTTTTCTCTCACTCCCTTTTTCTCTCCCTCACTCTTTTTCTCTCCCTCACTCTCTTTTTCTCTATCACACTCTTTTTCTCACTCTCTCTCTCACTCTCTTTTCTCATCACACTCTTTTTCTCACTCTCTCACTCTCTCTTTCTCACTCTCTCTCTCACACCTTTTTTTTTCTCTCTCACTCTCTTTTTTTCTCTCTCTCTCACTCTCTTTT